CCCCCTTTCTCTCTCCTTCTCTTCACTATCATTCTGTCTCTGTCGGCAGTGACAGAAATGAACAGCTGGGCTTCAGATTTATCATGTACAGACAGTAATTATTGCTGGTGCTGCCGGCTACTGACCCAAGTGAATAGAATGTCACATGAAAAAACACGGCAGAAAGCGGACCTGAAGCTGAGGGGTGCCGGGTTAGGGACTGCGTGAGAGATGTGTGTGTGAGACACAGAAGAGAGAGGAGGGCAGTGTTTAAACGTCACTACGTTCCTGTTTGCAGTCAATTACGGACGAGGACAGGGGTATTGGCTCTGTAACTCGGCAGAGCAAACATTTTCTCGCTCGCAGTGAAGGTGACAGAAAAAAAAAGGTTCCGTGTTTGTTTGTGCTGATTTTTTTCTTTACTCTTATCCAAAATAAAGCCACAGACAGTACAGCGAGCACCAAATTACTCTCATAGAAAAGGTGACAGAGAAGTGAAACTAAGAGATGTGTTAAAGCTATAATAAAAACTGCGGGAAGACTGATTTGCTTCAACACCTACTTTTCTCATTTTTATAGCTTTTGCTTTAAATGTATGATTAACTAAATTCACCAGCAATTATTGATTAATAAAAAACAGGTACAGCATTGATGTTGGACCACACAATGTTTTCGTCATTATATCAACCCAGCCTGACCCCACATGCTGTATTTGTACCAGAGATAAGAGGGTCAGGAGATAAACTATCAATTTATTACCCATGTCAATAACTGTCCTTGTCTTTAGAGAGTTAACCCCGCATCTGCTGCTTCCTTTCATACACATTCAGTTGTATGAAAGTTGTGGTCTGTCACATTCCATACCCACTAACCTACGTACGGACCGGTTCACACCTTAAAGACCCCCTGCCACATTTAAAAGGATTAGTCACCACATTTTGTGCCGGCTTAATCTCTCTTTCAGCTGGCCTAATAAGTGTGCTTCGATAAGCGAAGCATGCAAATTCATTCATGGCCAGTGGAGACCACGCTCTCAGACAAACGCGCCAAAGTCTCCCACTCTGCTAATTACCTCTTCATTTCCCCCTTTTCCCCTCTTATACAGCATATCAGCGACTAGAGATTATTCCTCTCCCTTACTTTGCATGAAATTATAATTTCATATGTAAGATTAGACAATCGTGGGAGAAAAATATAAGTAACTGGAACTTAGCTCTTGCCCCAAGAATACATGATACAGCTGTGAGATTAAAAGCCCAATTTCCTTTGAGCTGGTTACGCTGACACAAATGAGCCAGAAATATGGGGGAAGAAAATCATATTTTTAGGGGGAAAAATAAATGAAGATACCACTTTTTTTCTAATTAATGACAATTTATAATTCACTGCCATCATTTTTTAAGATAGTATAAATTAAAAAATCATACCTCATATTTCATTTTCTGCCATTTTTAGTAGAGTAGTTGAACAAACATGCATTATCAAATATGCAATATCTGTGATAATAAAAACTTGGCCAGTTACATTTTAGATAATAAAGGCAATGAAGACCCAAGGTGCAACCTGTTTATCATTCTGGAATATTTCTTCACCGAGTATTAATTAGGCCATTACTCCAGATTGGTGACGGGGAGCTTTGAGGTTTTAATTAGGTGCTGGCCACTGCATGAGTGCACAGGATTGAAGAAAAGGGGGTGGTGATGCCACTTGCCTTGCTCCTGGCCCATATCAAGTAGCCCTGGACACTCTGGCTACTGCGGCAAGATGCATGGCAGCCCACGTGCATCTGGAGTTTATTTGATTGTTTGATCTCCAATGTTTCCTCTTTCTGCCGAAAAAAAACAGCCAGTTGGTCTGATTTGGGTATTAAAAGACGGGGGTTAAGGTAATTATGGTGTTGGGTGGCTTGTGTCTGATGACTGGGCACATGCTCAATCAGGACTCAGCTGTCCCTCTCTTTCTGTCTACCCCCAAACACACACATACACGCACAAACGCATACAGACCCACACACACACACACACACACACACACACACACACACACACACACACACACACACACACACACACACACACACACACACACACACACACACACACACACACACACACACACACACACACACACACACACACACACACACACACACACACACACACACACACACACACACACACACACACACACACACACACACACACACACACACACACACACACACACACACACACACACACACACACACACACACACACACACACCTCCCCTTGTCTGCTGTCTATGTTCCCCCTTCTCTCCCCCTGCCACTCAGCTAAAGCCAGGCATTACACACACACAGCCTCGCGTAACATCAATCAAATACTGAGAGCGGACCATAAAACTACACAAACATATACGCTGCCATTAACTACTGTATTTGACACTTATTTAACAGTTCTTGTGCGATGTGTGACTAAAATCAGAAATCTCAATTTAAAGCTAGAAAATGAATTAATTTAGAGCGGAAAAATAAAATAAATACGATCCAGTGTAAATATAAATTGAAATGTTGCATGAAAAGTCTCTATTTTCCACATTTCAAAAACCAAAATCATATCTAAATAAAACATGAATTCAGGCATTTATTTTTAACACTTAACTTACCCACAGAGGGAGGTAAATTAAAGGAGCGTATTCAATTTCATATCTAAGTGAAAACAAAAATCATATATTTTGATGTAATTTAGACAAGGTATTTAAAAAATAAATCTTGAGAATATGAGTGTTTTTCCTCGGTTGACAAGGCGATACTAATCACCTCGTTGCTGAGAAGCACTCTTCCCTGACATGGCTCCTTAGAATACAAGGATCCCCCAGGAGAAATCGGCATGAAAGAGGTTAAAGACAATGACTCGCATTTTTTTCCTCCAAATGTCTCCCTGTTAAATTTATTTCAAAACTCTGTTAATCTGCTGTACACAACATTCCCATTAGCATAGCCCAGCCCCCTAATAAAAATTCCAGCTAGTTTAATTAAAAAATGTAAATTTACTGTCATCCAAGGAGCAGCAGAAATAGGAGTGCAACAGCATATTTTATTGCTTAAGACATCAAATTGATTCAGGTTATTGCTAAATTGTGATAAAAGGTTATTGAGGGCCTTCAGAACTGGGCTTGTTTTTCTCCCTCATTTCATCCTGGTTTTGTGGAAGGCCGTAAAAGATGGAGAGGGCCACAAAGGGTTAATGAGACAACTCAGTGAGGGAGAAGGCAATCAACATTATGACTCATAAGAGGGTAGAAAAATATTTTCCGAGCTGACGAAAAGTTTGAAATTAGGGTGTGTCACGATAACAGTTGGACTTGTTTGTTGTTATTTTAAACTATAATACAGGACGCCTTAAATAACCTGACATAATCACCGAGCCTTCAAGTCTGTCAGGGACATCCTGTGGTCTACTATACACTCTCTCAATGTTTTATTTAATAATCTAAGACACATTTTCTTAAATTGGAATTGATATGTTAAATGATACTACCACATACAAGTTAAAGAGCAGAAAAGCTTACGTGGTGTCGAGTGTTAAACGGCAAGAAAAGGCAGCAATAAAAAATAAATAGTATTAAGGAGGATTCAAATAAAATACTGAGAGTATATAGCCGGTAAATAAATGTATTAAAAAGCACAGCCTGGAGCAAGATGTGGTTGAATGAAGTAAGAGTTACAGATGTGTTGGTTATGTGAAAAGACCAAAGAAAAAGGAAACAATAATTTTGAGAATATATTTTTGGAGCATTCTGTATAAAATTGTAAAAACTGATATAATTGTAAAAGCAACAGTCTGCTCAAAATATCCCCACAATCTTTTCGAAATATTTAAACAGTGTTTAAAAAAAATAGGGCAGATACGATGTTTTAGAGTCAAAGGTAACCAATCTATTTTTTATAAAGTTAGAGTTGAGTTATTATCTGTGGTGCAAATAAGAAAATAGAAAGGGGCTATTAATACAATCACACACACGCTCACATTTATAAAGGGAAGACACTACTCAGTGCATTAAAATAGAGAGCACACACGTACATTAAGTACACACAAGAGAGAAAGAACTACATGTCAACGTGTGATATGACTTTTTTTTAAACTCACACAAAACCCTTCTTACAAATAAAGCTACGAGGAGAGTGACGCTTGTGAGTATAAGGTCTAATCCTGTTACAACAGGACAAGTTTATCCTCCTAAAAGTACGCACAGGATGACTGTTGTCAACCTGACAGATACAGGTCGAATGAAATTCTAAATTATCTGCCCCGAAGGGCATTTGCATTTAAACAATCTAATTCAATATTTTAAATAAATATAGTGTTTATTATAATTTTAACTAACATGTGATGCATTTAACTTGTCACACCTTTATATTTTGAGGTGAAACACACCGATTAGAATTACCTGAAAAGGTGTAAGCCCTGCTCCTGTTTCCTCTACATGTGTGACAACATAATCAACACAACAGTTTGTTTGCTTTGTCCCCTTGGCAACAAACCCTTAGGCCATTCAGTGTACCCTAATGGCAGTGCCTCTGTGGGTAAAGCCAATACCTGTATTTCGACTGTTCCAATACCGGCTTATTCAAAAACATGTAATTAACTGAGGCGACTAAACAAGCAGCAAAACACGGAGGAAAGAAGGAAAGCCTGACAGAGAGAGAGTTGAGCTGGTCTCATGTCCTAGGAGAGAAATAGACTCTGACGAGAGAAAATGAAACTGGCTTTGTGAACTTTCCTCACATGTGTACTGCGTCCTGAGTTGTGTGCTGGGGAAATGGGCAATCATATTTGATATTGCAGTCACCTTTGGGCACTGTCAAAGGGCTATAAATAAGGTGTTGCAACTGTTGGGTATACGTATGCGCTTGCACATAGTTTAATCATGAACAACTTCCCCTCTCCGTGTATTTAGTCAGAGATAAAGGCACACCTTAAACTGTCAGCTAATAAAACATATCTGGCAAAAGGTAGAAAAAGAAGAAGCGTACTCACCATATTCAGGGAAGTCGAAGTTAAATCCTCTCAGACATGTAACTTTCATAATATTACTCAACTCTGTAAGAAAGTCATTCGAATGTTGGATGGTGGAGGGGGAAATAAAGCGGAAAAGTAACTTGATAAAAAAAGGCTTCCTTCAATCATGCACTAAACTCCTTGACATGTAATCTGTCAATAGTTTGTTGCTGAGATAATGCCGGCTGCCACGAGCGGATTTGATTGGCAGCTTAGGGTCTGGCCCCTCCTTCCTGTGGTTTGACGGGGGGTAGGTGAAAGAATATGGAGCCTCCCCCTTCCCTTCTCTCTCTGTGTGTCGCTCTCTCTCTGCCTCTCGCGCGCTGCCTCTCGCTCGCTCTCTGCTCTGGCCCCATACACACACACACGCACAGACCAAGCTGTTGGTGATGTTGTCTGAATAGGCTGATAGGAAATTATGGCAGAGGAACCGGAGCAGTTTTTTTCTCCCTCCCTCAGTGGGCTGGCCTTTTCCATCTTTGTGGTCTTCTAGCCTTTCAACTCTCTTGGGGTGGAGCTTCCACTGCCTCTATTCAAATGAAGGGAGCGCAACACTAAAGAAAAGGTTTTGGGTAGGATGAGATTATACTTATCAAAAATATATATTATTCTTTCTGGTGCACTCGTGTTTATTGCTTTAGACTAATTATTTAAATTAAATATAGTTAAAAGTCGGCTTTTTATATCCCCATTTTTCTTATTTTTATATAGCAGATGATTGAATATTGACTATTTTGATAGAGAGTCACCTAACCATTATATCATCACTACATGCCACACATTAAAGGGACACAACTGCCTATGAGGAACATGCTTGTCCGTATATATCTCTCGCCAGGAGCATGCCAGAAGATAATACTCAAACACTTTAGCTTAAAGCTAAAAACTTTTGTTAATTCCCTCACAAAACGCAGATCCTCTATTTCAGAGTTGTATAGTACACGTTCTTTGCCTCTCTCCTTCAGAGCACACTCTTTTCCTTCCCTCCCTCTGATAAGCTATCAGTTTTCATTGTAATTTCAGGTGAAATGATAAACGGCAGCCGTTACCAGGTGACAATGAATACTTTATAAGACAAACCCCTTATTTGCCTGGCAGTTTCTTCCGCAGTGGCATGCAAAGTGCCTCTGGACCTTTTGTACATAATGCCCATAAACTGCAAAAATAGCCCGATGTCAAGAATGAGAAATTTACAAAGTCACAGCAAAAAGAATAAAAAAGGTCTAAACGTTGAAAGGTCACTGGATATTCCTGTTTTCCACAGCAGTTTTATTTTGAATAAAGGTGGGGTATAACTAGCATTTAGTGGTTATATAAAAGAGGAAATGAATAACTTTATGGCTGTGAACCATAACACAATGATACATAATCCTGGCTTCAGTTCCTGAGAGCAGTAAGCAAAGTCCAAAGTATGTACATAAAACAGGTTTTGGATGATTTGAAAATTATGATGACTCATCCACAGGTTAATAATGAAAGACAAAAAGCTTTGTCTCCTCCTTCCTAACCCACATAAAAGGAAATGTCCTTAAAAGAGTTTTTTTATCATAAGGTTCCGCCCTTGATCTAACATTGTACTGTAAACACTACTTCAGCTTTTTAGCCATGATAAAATAATTCAATTGTTTTAAATGACCTGACTTGGCAGCCGGTCTATAACAGTTGTAAAGGTGTTGGACATTTATCAACTGTAAGTCCTGTTCTTTTATCAATCGTACAAACACACATATTATGTTTGGTGGATTAATGAGAACTGGTATAGTATGACACACGTGGATCATTACTGAACAAACGTAACACTGCCTGACCATAGAATTCAAATGTTCTTAAATCTCTGTTGTTAAATGTATGTTGTGCAGAGGCCACACATATTGTAAATAAAACTGGTCTTGTATTGGTGAGCTCTTGTTAGCACCTTTACCAGCTACACTGTAATAAGAGACACTATGTGTAGATTATTAGATTTTATGCTTAAAAAAACAAGAGGTCAACATCAAAAGTTGTGTTGACTGAACTTAACCAAGTAGCTTAAAAGCACAAATATGATCCCAAGCCACAATTGTTTCCTTAACCCAACCAAATAGTTATTTTGCCGAGACTTTACCAAATGGCTAACATATTAACCTAAAACTATCTTTAACCGAACCCCACTCTATTTCCAAATGTAAACAGTTATTTGATCAAGTTCTTACTGCAGGGGCTGGTTGAGCGCACTAATCGCTCTTGTTGCAGGAAACTTACAGGAAAACACACGAAAAAGAACAAATACAATTTCATAACCGCTGCATGAGGATACGATCAAATATATGAAAAATGTGTCTGGTTGTAACGCTGCAATGCTTTGTTCCACTTAGGTATAGGATATCAATAAAATATACTACAGTATCTCTAAACTTGATATTGGGGGGGGGAGGGTTTGGATTGAAGGGTAAAATTATATTCATGTCCACAGGAGGGAGGGTTTGCCCTCCATGCATTACAGCCCTCTGGCCCTCGAGCTGCCATCTTTGGGGCCGAAACCATTACTTTTGAAAAGGAGCTGTGGGGATTTTCGTTTGATGTGGTCCGAGGCTATTGTATGGTGCATGCGGGAGAATGTTGAGGGCAAGGTGGAGTGTGTATGCGTGTGAGTGTGTGTGCGCTGCCGTGCGTGTGACATGGCAGGGGTACATCAGTCAAAGGGCCGCGGGGCCAGACGTTTGGCTGCCCCTGACAGTGCACTCCAGGAGGGGCTGGTCTGGTGAAGGGCCCACTCCGAGCCCTCCATTCCCCAGGACAAAAGCCAGGGCCCAGTTGATAGATGTGAATTCAGTGGCTTTTGTGCCCAAAGCCTAGAGACATGCCGAGTGAGAAATCTGACCTTTGCCGAGAGTCAGATTGTGTTTTTGAACCCCTCTTGCTGTCTCTGGCAGTTCAGGGCAAAGAGTGAGCGAGCGAACGGGAGGAGAGTGAGTGGGTGCGAGTGGGCGTGGGGTGGAGGTCTGCCCTCGCTGGTGGAGCACAGGTTGGGGACTACACAGGAGGAGCGGAATGATGCACTTGTGCTGCATCAAACTTTAAACACAACAAATTAAAATAGTTTGTGTTTTTCCGCAGACAATGGATAGAGTTTATTCTTGATATTCACTGTCATGTTGTTGTCAAATTGGCAGGAAATTGAACGTGTAAAAGCTTAATTCTGAAGCAAGGGTTTTTAAAGTGGGACTCAACAAGAGTTCATCCCAGTGTTATTCGAGGTTGTCTTCGATGCGTGATATTATTCCCTCTCACGTCTGTTTATATTGCATTATATATTTATTTTTAAGCAGAGAAGGAGCTGAATATTAAACGTACACACAAATACAGCCAGCACAATGATGATGGTAATACACCACTTCTTGATGATCATCATTTGCATTACTCATGACAATGATTCTTCTGAATCTCATTTGATTTTCATAATTGCTGCATAGCTGTATATATACAGCTACATACATACACTATGAAAATCACATTGCAAAATCTCATTATAGGTACACACTTGAAAGCAATTAACATGGAGTTTGTATGAGGTATAAGGTATATCTGTGTGTCAACATGCTGCAATGCATTTCTTATATATCCATGCACTGTTTATGATATTACATGAATTATGATATAGCGTGTTGCTTGGCGGCAGTGTGCTGAGAGCAGAGATTCTGCAGATAGAATAGGCCTATGTTTTTGAGTCATACATTTTTCTTGACACTGCTTTCATCCCCCGGCCGTAATCATCATATCTCCCCCATTGCTCTCCCGGATGCAGACATCCATAATGCAATCTTCCTAATTTTGATCCCTCGCAATCTGGTTTTTAAAAAGGGAGGGGAAAAAAGGGACATATTTCTGAAGGCTTGCTCCATAATCATTTTAGACAGATAGCCTTTCCCATCGCAGATGAGCAAATATTTGTAAACCAGCTATCTAATGGAAAATTAGAGTGAAATTAGAGTGAAATTCATGACAGTGAAATCTGATTATCTGTAATTCTATTATGCCATCTTAGCCCACACAGCATATTTTTGTAGAGTTTTTCCATAAATACCTATGCCAGGGGTCCTGCTAATCAAATAAAATTGAAATTCATCTTCCCATTAAATTCAATTAGCCGCAATTTCTAAAGCCTAACAAAGATTTTAATTACTAAATTATAAAATTCTCCCTAGCCAAATTGGGGAGAGAAAAAGCACATACCCTGCATCTGAAAAACAAACCCATGAAAGGAAATTGTTGATCAAAAAAGATATCCAGGGGAAAATAACATTAGGGAGAGCACTGGGGCCTTTATTCAGCGAGTCTGGGCGGGGAGTGACGTGTGCCAAGCGCTAGGCTCCTGGGCCGGAGGAAATGAACTTAGCTGAGGTTCTCTCTGTCTCTAAATGTCTGCCCTCAGAGTTATTATGCTGTAATTGACTAATTGACACCTTAATTTCATTTATGGGGCTCCTGTGTTCATAAAGCAACCTCTGGGTGGGGCAGTGGTCTTGAGCGGAAGCAAGGAAGTCAACATCCAGGACACCAGGTAGAGCCTCAGGCCTTCAGCTCTGTGCTCGGCAGATGACGATTATGCATTTGATAATGAAATGGTCAGGAAGAACATACTTACTTAGCAGGGGCTTAAGGAGCATCTTACTCATATGTTTAAATCCCTCTGATGAATGCTGATGGGTAATAATCATGCAAGTCCAGTCTCACAAGCTGTCACTGCAGGCACAAATGACCTCCTACAGGGTCAGAGGAGTTTATTTTTGGAAAGTAAGGATCCTTAAACTGTCAAATGCAGATTCAAGGAATGTTTTTGGCACTTTATACTTATACAGGTGACCGTGGGTGAATTGTTGGAACCCCGGCTCTGTTCCACTAAGATGTAAAGGGAACTGGAACCAGGAATGATTGCTGGTTATGTTACGTCACTGCTAATAGGACAGCTCTGGGGTCTCAGGTCAGCCACCAGGTCCTTTCCCAGCCACCCCCTGCTCCCCACCAGTGGGCCACTAAAATAACAGCTCAGCACCCTCTGCAGACTACAAAGCTCCATCTGAAAAGGCACCTGCTGCTGTTATTCACTTTAACCCCTTCGGCGGCTCACTCTGTCTGTTTAAAGGACACGCAGAAAAAAAAGAATGACTGGGAAATGATGAATTATTTAAGTATGATGTCTAATTGTTTCAAGGCAGACATCTTGCTTCTGGAAGGTAAAGGCTTGGGGGTGGGAGGGGGGGGATCAGTGCACGTAGGGGGAGGAATATTTGTGAAGAGGTCTGTCTACTGTGTAATGCAGGCAGTCTCGCACTTGAAGTGGCTGGGTAAATATGACCAAACTGAAACTTTAATCTGCTTTTTCCACACCCAAGCTGGCTGGGTATTAAAGATAATCTTTTGTGTGTG